TAGGGTAGATCTATGAGAGAACTTTCCACTCTTTGACTCTTTGAAAATTTGACTTTTATTGGACAAATAAAAACATTTTTATAAAACATATCAGAACATCTACAATTTAAACATTTATAGTACATACCAACAATATTTCAAAGAACAAAACATATACAATTTGCATTTCACTGATCTGATAGTCTTCACGGGTATGTTGTCATTCTCTTATATATTTGACTTACTCCTCAAAGCTCTTTGCACCTACGTGTGAACAATCACACACTAAGTCTATGACTTACTGAGGCAAATACGAGTAAGATAAAACATTATAAAATAATTTCTTACTCTTTTCATAGAACACATTTTATAAAGGATTCAATTCTCATTTCATAATAAGAATGTATACTTTTATAACTTGTTCGGTTTATAACTTTGTTTTAACAATAGCCCAATGCATACTACTAAGAACTCTAGGTATTTGAGTACATTGAGGTTGTGCACTAATGTTGTCACCACATCTCACATAATTTGCACCGAAGTGCCACATATTTGTCTCGAATGACCACATAGAACCTTCGACTCTTGGCATGCCAACTATACCTCTAATTCTCATAGATATACCTTGGGCTTATTCCATGTAATTAGATCACATTTATTATTCAAGAGTTCTTTTATTTACATAGATCACATTTCGAGTATAATGGTTCCACATAACTAAAATCTCTTAGCACATATTCACATAACATTTATTCATATAAATCATCTCACGTAGAACATTTACTCATAGCATATACCATAGTATTATTCAAATTATCATGTACAAATAATTTTGGTAATTCGTACCCAAAAATTATAACAAAATCATTTAATAAATTAAGTTATAAAAATATATTTTATAACATAATACAAATCATTAATTCAAAAACATTTGAAGTTGGATTATTGCAAGCCGCCCTCCAATCATATATATAAAATAAGTAAGTTGCACTCACCTTTTGCCTCACTTAAGCCCTAAGCAACTCCTTTTCACTTTGTTCAACATTTACTTTCAATCGAATCTACACATTACATAATCAATATAAATATCGGTTCTCAAATAACATTTAACCACATAATCTTTACTTAAGCAAATTGAAACACCTAATTAACAATTTCCGGCTGAATAATATTGGTACGCTACCCACAGTACCTGTCACACCCCCAACCCGTATCCGATCCGGATACGAGTCCGAAGTGTCACATTGACTTTTCAAACATTTATTCGTATAAAATAGTGAGTAATTTAAAAACTTTGATAACATTTAACTTATTCAAAACGTTTACAAAATATATATCAGAGTTCATACAATTTATGTCTTTAGACTACATGCCAACTACACTATATATATAGTACCTATATTTTCTGATCTGACATTTGGTAAGGAAAACTGACCTGTCTTGCTCTGCATTACTCTTTACTCTTCTCGAAACCTACGTGTGAAACAATCACACGCTAAGTCGAAGACTTAGTGAGGCATAACAACTTATAATGCACTTTATAACATATATCAATACATGCATGTTCTGTTCTATCATGTTATATCAATTCCATGCATTCTTCGTATCATATAAAATCATATCAGATCAATTGCAGTAAATCCATACGTACACATAATTCATCATTAACAGTTTATCATGTAATCACATACTTTTATGGTTAACCTTTTCAATCAAACACTATACACACACAACATCATATCATTTCTATAACATTTATCATACCACTAACATATATTTTTTCATATCTCTGGATTAGCCCATGTACATATGTGAGAACTATCGATATGTGAGTCTATAGAGGTTGTGCACTAATGCTGTCACCACAGCTCGTATAATTGCACCAAAGTGCCGCGTAGAATTGCACCGTAGTGCCATATAATGATGTCCATAAGGACCACATAGAATTCCTTAAGAATCATATACATATGCTAGGGATCAAGTATGTGTCTCTCACGACTTCACACATGTTCCACAGAATATATATATATATCCCGAAGGACCACGTAGAATTGCACCGTAGTGCCATATAATGATGTCCATAAGGACCACATATTATTCCTTAAGAATCATATACATATACTAGGGATCAAGTATGTGTCTTTCAAGACTTCACACATGTTCCAAAGAATATACATATGTCCCGAAGGACCGCGTAGACCCTCGACTCTTGGCATGCCAACTATACCCCTAGCTCTCATGACACATAACATGGGCGTTATTATTTATTTCATTTCAAATATTCACATAAACTTGTAATTCACGTATCACATATCACGTATCACATAGCTTCTTTTCATATTATCACATAGTCACGTAGTTCACTTACACGTAGATCATTTCCATATAATTCACATGTCACATATGTCATGTTATCATATAATTTCTATCATTTCTCACCCAATCACATTTATTCATGTAAACATACTTATCATATCTTGTTCACATAAGATCATATACTTCATATAACATATAGAAACACCTAGAACACCTTCACGTAGCTTATAGTCATAGGTCTTATCTCATAACATATACTTGTTTTCACATATATATATATTTCATATCATTTCTTATACCATCGCATAATTCATTTAACATACATAACATATTATGTAACATTATAATAGAAATACCTATAAGTCATATCACTTAGAGCACATATATACTTATAGTCACATTACTTATATCTTAATCTTATGCCTTCTCTTAGACATATATATTCACATGTTCAGGTAATCCACCATTTCATCACATAATTATGTATTCATATAACTCATTTCATTTCATTTCATATTTATCTATATATATATATCCTCAAGATTTATCCTAATATAAATCATATAGCACTCTTATAATTCATATTCATATTCATCTAGGGCAGACTTATAAACATATCTCACTTCTATTATTTCTTTATATATATAATCTAATCTGTTTACTTAATTCAATTTCATATAACTCCTATAATCTTCTCATATAACTTCATAAATTTCTATCATACAACCCATGTGTTATAGTTTTATTTAAACATATGAATCTTTCCCATCTAGCTTATCTTATATGTTCATCTTATCATTTATGTTCAAATCTCCTAGTTAGTGTACTAATCTCACTTCATCCTATAGATCAATATTATCCAGCTTATTTCACTTATCATATAATAATAATTATATTTCACTATGATCATATAGTTTATATCTCATATAATTCATAACCTTTCTTATGTAATTACTTATACTTTATCATCTAACACATAAAAGAACAGATCAATCCATATAATCAAGCATACATACATGCATATTCAACTCATGCCTTTAATCATGCATTCATGTGTAACACTTCAGGAAATAGACTCATCGCAATTCTTATTCCCATCGCACATCATATACTATTGAATATGCACTCACCTGGTCTCACTAGTCAATTCCAATCTCTTATCTTTCCCTTGATCGATCTTACTTGCCAAACGTTCCGGAATTGCTTTATGCGTAGAATCTACATAAATGTACATTTCGAGGCAATCATTAGATACCTACACCTTGTAATTGGATACTAGCAACTTAAACGAACTTATTAAACCCATATTCCCAATTTCCTTTAGGGGGAATCGGTTCCCTACTATGGGGGTATCGATTCCCTAATGACATTCTGGAAATGTTGTTCGTTTGAAGGGGTATCGGTTCCCCTTGAATGGGTACCGATTCCCCTTGCCCAGAAATCATATTTTCAACCCGAAAATTACTTCATTTCCACTCAAACACTTCATATATCATCCCCTTTTCATTCTTAACTCTAGTACACATACTTAAACCAATCTATATTCATTTATTTCATCTTAAACCTCAAAATCCTATCTTCCATATGAGATTCAAAAATCATACCAAATTTTCAATGTGTTCTAATTCCAATTCTAACACTTCATACTTCTTAATTAGATTGATGACAAGTCAAATTCATCCATAAAACTTCAACAACCATACCATATCAAAATTTCTTCTTAAAACTCATATTGCAAATTCCTTCATAATTCCTTTATCTTATTGTTTAAATCCCATATAAGCTTTCCTTAAGCTTATTTAATACCCAAAGAATCAAAACTAAACTTAAAACTCCAGAATTAACCAACTAAAATTAAACTTACCTTTGCCTTGCTCTCCCACGTATGAAGAAGAAGAAAGGAGCAGAGAACTCTGGATACTTCTCAAATTTCCCACGTTTATATTACCTTAAAAAAAATTATAAAAATCTTTCTGATCAAATGACCATAATACCCTTAATTTCCTTTAATAATTACCAAATAACCTTCAATATATATTCAAATAATCATTGAATTCTTTCATTCTTCTACTTTAGTCACCAAATTCTGAAACTTACAATTTGGTCACTAACCCGGTATTGCGGATGTTACAGTACCGATACTTCTCTTCTATGGTACCGATACCCACTTCAGTACCGATACCATTTTGACATTCTGTCATTTCATCTTTACTTATAGTATCGATACCTTAGTATTGGTATCGATACCCTTACTAGTATCAATACTACTACCATTTAATATTGATATTGTTCATCTGATTCATATAATTTCATCCAGTTAACCTTATAGTATCGGTATTGTTCTTCCAGTACCGATACCCTTACCCAGAAATCACCTATTTCACTTCGAAAAATTACCCAACTTTCACTTAAATCTCTCACCCTTAACTCTATTTATACCTTCAAACTCATTTACACTTATTCTCACTAATTTATCTACATTAAAACCCCTTTTACATCAAAAATCTTCCATTGAACTCTTGGACTAAAAATCATATCAAATTTTCAAACATGTTTTAATCTTTCCTAACACTTATAATCCCTTAATTAAACCCTTGACAAGTCAAATATGTCTTTAAAAATCTAAAAACAATCAATTTCAATCAATTTTCTTAAAAACCTATTTTACTAAATCACCATTAAATCCTTAATCTCTTGGTTTCCACTCATCTTTAAACTTTATTAAACTTCTATATCACTCATAGAACCAAAACCAAATCAAAGATAAAAGAATTAACCCACTTCAATCACCTACCTTAGCAAAAGGGAAGGGTCACAATAGAAGAAAAAAGAAAAGAAGATGACCAAATTCTTCCATATATTTCTTTTTCCTTATGACTTTTCCCCCCCACATGTTAAATACCTTCAAAAAGAATTTTAAATTCTTTTCATGCTAAAAGACCATAATGCCCTTCCATCTTTGATAATAAATCCTGGACAATAATTTCCCAAATCAGTCCTTGAACTTTTCAATTTATCAAAATTAAACCACCAAATTTAAATCCTTACTTTTCAGTCACTGACCCGAAATTTGGGGTGTTACAGTCCTTCTTAGTTCCGACGTCTATTCCTTTCCCCGAGCAAGACCGAAACTTTAATGTGTTTTTTGGTGATTTTAGTGGCCCGAATGATTTCTTTGTTTGGTTTCTTTTACTGCTTGACGCTTCTTCTTCTTTTTGTGTATTGGATAGTGCTTTGCAGGGGTTTTTATAGCCATGTTTGGAGAGATTTTTTGGGGTTGTTTCCCATACCTTGATTTGCTTGGGTTGTTGTAATCCCGTTTTCGACGGGATTTTGTGTTCGTTGCGTTATTGCTAGAGAATAGGTGGTGTTCCCCTTCAGATTTTCTCGGATCTGTCGTGATTTTGCTGTTTGGCTCTGAAGTGACCGGTTTAACGCCAGGTCATAGTCCTCACGTGCCATTCGAGCCCCCTCCCCCGTGCGACACCAAAGTTTAGGGTAAAACCCTATTTTACTTGGGCTGGGTCAGGCCCTCTCTTCCTAATTGGGCCTGTTTTACTGGGTCAGGCTAACATGGTTCGGTTGGGCTCCCTTGCTGGATTGGATTTGGACTATTTGGACCTTAAAAATAAAAAAATAAAATGAAAAATAAATAATAATAATAATAATAATAATAATAATAAACATAATATATATATTTAAAAAAAACTATATAACATATTATATTTTCAAAATCATATAATATGTTTTCAAATATATATATATATATATATATATATATATATATTACATATGTTTTTAAAAAGTATGTTTTCAAAACTATATAATAATATATTTTTTAAAAACTATACTATATATCTTCAAAAACTATATATTATATGTTTTTTTAATTATATAATATGATACTATATGTTTTTTAAAAACTATACTATATATTTTCAAAAACAATAAATTATTTTTTGAAAAAACTATATACTATATATTTATCATATATTCTATATACTATAAATATAAAAACAAAGAAAATCATAAAGACTTGAATGAAAATGAATGTCTATAAACTCATTCATACATTTTCATTCGTCTAATGAGTAATTATGACTGCGTTGCAATTTTATGAAAAATTTTCAACTTATAAAATATCTAATTTTAACTAGTAATTAAGAAGTTAATTCACTTGGAATCTTGCCCGTCCGTATGAGTATGACTTTGTGATAGAGACGTATCAACAAGCCACGTTACCACTGCTCAACCTTGGCTTTCATGAAGAAACCCACGTGCTCTTCAGTCCTCATTTTGTCCCCAGCCATTTTTTTTTTATCGAAGGAATTGGATTTCATTCAAGAGAGGAACAAGACAAGGCAACCGTACAATTCGGGTCATCGAGGGCTCCAAATCGAACCCAACCCAAAGAAATGAAGTGCCAAAGAGGAGAAATTAATATTGCACCCTAAAATTTAATAACACAGAGAAAAACAAATAAAGCAATACTAGGCACCCAAGAATCATTTCGGCAATCTTTCGTGCTTTTCTGTTTAATCTGCAAACCAAAAATTATGATAGCTTCAAGGTCGAAGAAGACCTTGCTATTTTTGAAATTCGAGATCAACATAGTAGTAAGGAGACTAAAAATGTCTCCTGAAACCAACACCAATGACGCTCGAACTCAAACAGGACGACCAACATAAAGATCCTCTTCTAGGAGTAGGAACTATGTTTATGATACAAATAGTATCAGTATTTAACTTATTAAGCAATCTCAGTGGTTAAAGGGAGTGTTGCTCTCTCTATAGTTTTCAAGTTCGAGTGGCTATATCTTCAAGATGTGTTATCAATATCTTAGAAAGATTTTGAACAAATTCTGAATATATATACATTAATAACTAAATATTCGACGAAAAAAGGAATCAGAAAATGACCAGCAACTATCACATGTGACGGTGGAACAACATAACCCATTGTTGCTTGCAGGGTGTGGCACTGGGGTTAAGGCAGGCTTAAAGCCGCAATTAGCAACCTTTCTTAATTAATTCCTCCAAATAATTAATTAGCCCCCTCTCACTGATACTGGCTATGTCTCTAATCATGCAAAAAAAAAAAAAAAGGTGGTCGAAGCCTTGGGTTTGACTTAACTGATTTCTTTTCTTTTGAAAGGGAACCATGTACATCAAGGTAAACATTACATATATAATCATATTTTAATTAAATTTTAATTCAATTAAGATCCTTTTAAGATTGTAGATTTAAATGTACTTAAATATAATAATTTATGAATTAAAATTTAAACATATATATTGTCTTGTACTTACGTCAGATTAATTTTTTTTGAGTAATCGATAACGTACACACACTCTAAAAAACATAACTACTTCAATTCAGGACTAAAAAAATAGCATTCCCTTTTATTACTACTTGTATTAATATATATATAATACAATTAAAAATAGCATTCTCTTTTTTTTATAGCCATCGTTAGTAAATTTTCTTCTACATCTTTGTGATCGACAGCGGCACCAGTCTTGGTACTGGTTGTCAACCGCCAATATTCATTATTTTTTTGTTTTATTATAGTGTATCTTTTGTTTTTTTCTTGATTTTTGTTCTTAATAATTCTGCCTTTTTGGCATGTATTCTTCTGCCTTTATGACAAGCTTCTCTATTTCTTTATGACACTTTTTTGTTTTTTTTATAAGTAATTTTATTTTTTTTTGTCCAAGAAGCAGTAAAAAAAATGCTACTAGAACCAATACAAAACCAAACAACCTCTTAGGAAGACTGAATTCCCAGGCTATACAAAGGTAATGGTTAATCATATCACTCCTAATAACTTTCCTATACACCTTTACTATAACAATCCCTTTAATTGTTTTCAATAAATCCCCAATGTGTCTATTTACACCTCTATATTGCCTATAATTTCTCTCCTCTCATACACAATATATGTAAGAACACCAAGCTATTTTAAGGATGTAAACAACTAAAGATTTTCCTTTAAGTCGAGCAATAGCCGAGTTAAACTTACCTTATCAGCTCCCCACTGACCTGTCAATTTTGCACAGCAAAGGAATAGCCTTCTACACTGCCTTTGAGAAGATGCAGTCAAAAAACAGATGACTCCTAGTCTCAGGTAGAGCACACAAAGTCTGCAGCTCCCATCAACCAGCAACCCCATTTTGATCAGCTTATCTGTAGTAGGCAGTCTGTCCAAAATTTCCATCCAAGTAACTATAGAATGCTTGGGAATGTTCAAAGGATACTAGTCAAGCTTCTGCCATACCATCTTCTTCCGCTTATCTCTTACCTCATTCTAAATCCATCTAGCAGTGATCTTGTCCTCAGCAGGAGTACCATGAACTTCACTTCCCATCTTCATTATTTTCCTCAGACTCCAAATAAAGTAAAGCTTACTCTCAACAAGTCAAAAATCAACATCTTTTAAAACATAAGTTCTAATCCAGGCCACCTAAAGAGAACCTTCCTCAGCAAGCAAGCTCCTCCCCAAAGCCAACACACAAGCTTTGTTCCAGCACTTCAAGTTCTTTACTCCCAAGCCCCCATCAGACTTAGGAGCCAGATAAAAGGGTTAAGTAGAGCACAAGGTTCTTAACCTTGAGGTCGTGAGATTGAATTTCATGGAGGGTATTTCATAATTTGGACGTCTCCTACGGAAGCTGCTTTCAACCTAGTGTTGGGGGTAACCTACTATCTTACCTCCCTCTTACCCCATTACATATGGGAAAAAGGGACAACCATTTTTAAGATGACTATCCAACTCAGTTGGTAGAGTACAAGGTTCTTAATTTTGAGGTCGTGGGATCGAGTCCCACGGAGGGCATTTCATAATTTGGAGGTATTCTACGGAAGCTGCTCTCAACCTGGTGTTGGGGGTAGTCTACTATCTTATCTCCCCCTTACCCTATATTACATATGGAACAAGGGACAACCATTTTCTCCACTTTTACATTTGACACGTGGCATTTCCTTTTTAAGCTTTTTGTTTTTGTTGGTTAAGGTTTCCCACTTCCTCCACTTTATGCTCTCCATTTGGTATTCATCAATCATATCATGCCACGTTCCATCATGCCATATTTAATTATTTATCAGTTTAATTCCCTATTAATGGCGATCTTCTGTTTTTTTATTATATTTTTGAGTTAATACATATTTTGACCCTAAACTTAACCTAAATATATATATATATGATTTTGATTTTTTTATCCTTTCGGTCCTTAAATTTGCCTTAAGTACTTAGTTGCCCCCTTAACTTTTTTGACCCATTAATTTAGCCTTAGGTATTTAAATTTGAAAATAGTTACACACATTAATCTAAAGCATACGTCCATTAATATTTCACTTATATGTTACGTCTAGCCAATCGTCGGATGTCACGTATCTTTTTCTTAAGTACCTAATTAGTACCTTTTTAAATCTATTTGACCCTTCAACTTTTTCCAGCATACTTAGTGACTGAACTTAAAAACGTCGTACACATTAATATAAAAATTTAACGCCATTAGAATTGTGTTAGTTTGACACATCTAACCAAGTAATTGATGTATGTGTTAATTTTTAAATATATGTGATATCGTTTGATTGGTTGAAGGTGACATATCAATAAAATTTTAAAAGTATATTGAATAATTTCTAAATTCAAGTATCAATTAGTCACCTAAGACCAAATTCAAAGAGTAACATATGCATTAGTCATATTTTTCTAAC